GTAAAATTGCAGCTTAATGCTGCTGTGTTTCGTATGGTGAGTGTAGAGAATCGGAGACCCTTTTTACTGTAAACGAGGCATACCATCTTAGTTCTCGCAGGTAAAAACGCATCTATATTTTGATTCGTAATCAAGGATAGATGTATATGTCTGTGGGCCACGGCAACCACTTACCACCACTCTGTGTGCTCGTTTGTCATCCTTCTCCAATAAAAAATAGTGTTTGTAATCACCTAGTCTATTAACACTACACTGGTGACCTTTTCTGATTAAAACTGGTCTGAACTGAAGTCACTAGTGTAGTATCTTGGTATGCGTATTATCCAAGTATCTAGGTGGGAAGAAAATTGAGGACTGAACTACATGTGATGGTGGAACAAGAGAAAACCTTACCCAATTTTATCCCAAGGATATCGTATCGTAAGAGGCGACCTTTTTATATGATCTAATTGAATATTGTAAAAATGAATTTATAAGATATAATAGACTAATTTTCTATAAACGTTGATGCATCTCTCAGTAATTTCTGAAAGACTTGCCCGATTGAAGTCATATTCAGAAAGTATGAGAGTTTCTTCTATGGAGATGAATGTTTTGTAGCTACGGTAGGATCGATAGTTGGCGATTTAGTTAACTTATACGTAGTCTAGCATGGTGCAGATATCTACACATTGCTAGACTTTAGGATACAGCATTAATAATTAAAAAAGCAAAGTCAAAAAAGCAGCCCCCACCTTTTCTTCCTGACCATGGTTGTTACAAAGCACGCGAAACTTCGGTAGTTAAAAAACAAAGCGATAAATCCGTAAAAGTAGTTTTATTCAAAAGCAAAAACAAATTAACAACTGTTTTCGGGAGATTTGTTTTCAACATGTAGTCAACTTGTTGTCTCTTTGGAACATCACCAGCCTTTATCGAACCCACGTCCCCCGGAAGTGCTCCCCTAAATATACAAGGAGTATCGTTATTTTTTGCGTATCTTGTTCTCTCTTTATTAAATACTAGCCGATATTATTGCTGAACCTAGATGTAAAATTTTTTTGATGAGACTATCGTAAAGTCCGTTTTTAGTGAGTGTCTACTTGCGAAATGGGTAACTATACTAAACAAGTAAATCGGGTATAGGTAGTACAGTTTTAGAGAACTTGCGATGAGTCAGTCAGTAATTGATATTTCGTTATATTATATATATAACACACACACACACACATACACACATAAATATATATACCTAATTATATATATATATATGTGTGTGTGTGGTGAAAATGCCACTTTATATATACATATATACATGTATATATAAAGTGGCATTTTGAACACTAAACGTGCAATCCTTCCACCATTGCTTTATTTATTTACTTTATTTACTTTATTGGAGACAAAACAGAAACAAAAGATACGAAAGAAAAATATACAAGTAAAATAAGACAATGGTAATTACAATTGTTTCCTATAAGCTGTCTCACTAAGAACATACATAATATTTATATTATGAAGCAGGTCGTAATTGGTATCGTCTGCACAACAAGCAGGGTAACAAGTCTGTACTTAAATAAAAAGAAAACAATCATCAGAAAACAATCATCTAACATGTACAATAATAAATACTAAATATCCTTATATATCTAATTCATGATTGCTACTAAAGTACTTTTTAATTTAGTTTTAAAAGCTGAACGGGAGATGGAGAAAATATCGATGTCGTTAAGCATTTTATTGTGGAGGACACACATTCTGTGTACTGGTGCTCTTTTACCAATGTTGGTCCTGGTTTTTGGTATATGAAATAGATTTTTTGATCGTGTGTTTTTGGGTGGTATTCGAAACCTTACCTCGGATAATAACTGTGAACACTTAATCTCACCAACACAGATATTCCTAAAAGTAGTGGCGTCGATTAAAGTGCGTCGGTCTTTTAATGACAGCATTTGATATTTTGTTAAGAGATTTTCATAGGAAACGCGAGGTGAATGCATTCGATAGTTAACAATACGTAAGAATTTCTTTTGGACCTTTTCTATTTTATCTTCATAAACTGAGTAGAATGGATTCCAAACGGGGGACACATATTCTAGATGAGATCTAACTAATGACTGATAAAGGCAGGTAAGAGTATCTTTGTGTTTAAATGATTTTGTTATACGTGTAACGAAGCCTAGCATTCGGTAAGATTTATTCAATATTTCCTCGATGTGCCTATCTAGTGTGAGTTTGGTATCTAAATATACTCCAAGATCACGTATACTAAATTCTGATACAATTTTGTGACCACCTAAGTAAAAGTCCGCGTGTACTACATTTTTGTTCCTAGTATATGTTATGTGTTTGCATTTATTATAAGCCAAGAATAATTTATTAATTTTACAATAGTTTTCAAGTCTATCCAAATCGTTTTGTATTAATTTTATGTCGTCAGGTTTAGTAACGGCAGAGTATAATTTTAAGTCATCAGCGTATAATAAGAATTTACAATGGTCAAAGCAAGTTGAAATGTCATTAATAAATAGGATAAAGAGGAGTGGTCCCAGTATTGATCCCTGTGGTACGCCAGATGTTACTACAACGGGTAAGGAAATGTAGCCATTAAGCACTACCGACTGTATGCGGTTTTGTAAATAAGAAGCAAACCAACGTAGAAGATTACCTTTGATACCATTGTAGAAGATTTTTTTAAAAGTAGCAAGTGATCAACTTTGTCGAATGCTTTTTCAAAATCGGTGTATACAGTTTCAATCTGTGATTTATAGTCTAAACTATTAAAAATAAAGTTAGTAAAAACAAGAAGATTTGTCAGTGTAGACCTGCCATTAACAAAGCCGTGTTGTTCCTCTAATAATGTATTTTTCAAAATTGAATATATATGATCGTGAATAAGTTTCTCAAAAATTTTAGGAATAGCCGAAAGAATTGATATGGGACGGTAATTTTCTACGTTGTTCTTAGAACCTGATTTATGGATAGGTGTAATGTATGCTTGTTTCCATTGAGTTGGAAATGTTCCAGTTTCCAAACATTTGTTAAAAATTATATTGAGCGGCATGCAAATTGTATTAGAAGTGTGTTTTAAAAACACTGGCTTTATTTTGTCAGGTCCAGCGCCTTTGTTTGGATCAATGTTTTTTAAAGCAGTGCAAACTTCCAACTGTGTGAAGCGTATGTCATGTAAGTTTATTCCAGTAAAATTATCCTCTAAGTGTTGAGTTAATGTATATGCATTGTCTGACAACGGTTCAAATACGGATTTAAAATGATGTGAAAACATTTCAGATATTATTTTTGGGTCATCTGAAGTTTTGGTTCCCAGCTTCATTACTTGAGGATATCCCGTATTTGTTTCCTTTATATCTGAAGTATATTTCCAAAAGTATTTTATATTATCCTTTATTGAAGACTCAACGTTCTCTATATATTTATTGTAACATTTAATTAAGAGACGTTTAGCACGTTTTCTTAATAGGGAGAACTCTTGATAGTCACGTAACGAATTGTACGTTTTCCATCGTGCCCACATTTTAGATTTACGCCTAAGTGTATAAATTAAGCTATTAGAGAACCACTTAGGGAATCTATTGGTTTTAACTTTGATAAGTGGTACATAAGATTCAATAACATGCATAATTTTGTTATAAAATTTGTCAACTACAGTGTCTATACAAGAAGAACTGAGTTCAGAAACCCAATCAGTCTCTGATATAGCGGTATTAATTTGGTCATAGTTTGCTCTGTAAAAGTTTCGTTTTGTTTTCTGGTTGGTGGGCATATACTTGGATTGAGTTGTTTCATAAAAAATGTCCAGCGGAGGATGGTGAGGAACGGCTTTTAAGAGTGGATCATCAGAGATATTAACTGAACAATCAGGTGAGTTGCATAAAACAAGATCAAGAATTCTACTGTTTTCGTTTTTTAATGTATTTATTTGTTTCAAATTCATAAAGGCCATAATATGAGACAATAATTTAGCTGTATCAGTAACTGCATTAACAGGTCTCAAGGATGGACCATCAGATGACCATTCCAGGTAGGGTAAATTAAAGTCACCAGTAATAATGTAATGTGAGAATAATGCCTTTGAGTGAATGTCGTGAAGTGTATAAAAGTATTTATCATAGGTAGTAGTTTTAGACGCTGGTGGTATATAGCATGCACTCAATAATAAATTTGAGTGTGGGAAATGAAGAAAAATAATTTCTAAATCGGTGGCCTCTAAGTCAAGTTTTCTAACAACATAGATCGATTTCTTAACAAGAATTAGCACCCCGCCACCGCCCTTTTTATTAAATAACATACAGTTCCGATCGCGTCGAAATATTATATAAGCATCAGTTTGAATTTCAGCATCCAAAATTGTATCCAACAGCCAGGTTTCAGTTAAAATTACAATATCGAAGTTACAAGTTAGTAAATTTAGTTTTAAGTCTGTAAGCTTAGTTTTTAAGCCTCCACAATTTTGATAGAACATAAGTAACTTATTAGAAGCCATCACGAGAAAGAAATGCAACCGATATAATTAAGTGTATTTATAAATTTGTTTGCTATAAAATTATGGATCTCGATCTCCCGCTGTATTGAGTATTGTAAACAACATACACAAAAACTTATAATAAACTACTTAAATATGCTACTTTTGGAAAATGAATAAACAAGTAAACGTAATAAAATAGTCATATTTTACTTAAATCATTAGTACAACGGATGTGAATGACACGTGAATCGTCATTTTTCCGTAGCAAAATGCAACTGTTTTTGACCCACACAAATTTATATCCCTTCGACTTCGCCAGTTGTCGAGCGTTACTAAATAAAATTTTATTTTTTAGTGTCAGATGTTCGTTTATATAGAATCGTGTGTTTTGAGCTGCAGCAGCGGCACTGTTGGCAGAGCCAAACAACTGAGCAGTGGTGAGTGTGCGGCGCGAACGCGCCGCCGCTATCATATCATCACGCAGTCGTCGTGTGGTCAGCTGAAGTATAATGTTTTTTGGACGGTCGGTCGGTACCTTTGGAGCCACGCGATGAACAGATCTAATATCGCTTGCCTTGATATCGACGCCAATTAGCTTACCAACCTCTATAGATAAATGAATCAGGTTTTCAGCCTTTTTATCAGGAATGTTTTGTAATTCCACGTTGCAACTGCGAGAGGCTTGGTCGAGGTCATCAAACTTGGCACGTAAATTCTCCAAATCTGCGCGAAGCTCGTTGTTTTCCTGCATCAGGGTGACGTCAGGACTATGCGATGCCGTAAAGTTTTGCTCGAGTTCCTTTATGCGCTCCTCCCATGAAGCAACACGTTTTTCCAGCCTATTAATATCTTGCGCAAAAGTTTTAGATACTTTTTGGATGGCTGAGTTTAAGTCCTCCTGCCACTGCTGGCGCAGACTGTCAAGTTTCGCATCCATATATTCAGTCAAGGCGTCGGTGTCGACGTTTAAAATAGACGTAGTAGCGCAATCTTTAAACTTAGGTGACACTGTCCCTCCTAACGTACCAGCGAGCCTCTTATTTTTACAGGGTGGGCATTTCCATTTGATTTTATTCATAGGGAGGATTTTTTTGAATTCAGTTTCAGATAAATCAGCACATTGATAATGCATGTACATATTACATCCCGTACATTTAATAACATCCCTTTCAGCAACATTTTTTTTACACTTAAAGCAATCCATTGTAGTGTAAACAACAATATCCAGCTATGTAGTCTCAAATGTAAGATTTATGCGCGGTAGAAACAGAAACATAAAACTACGCCTGTATCACTGTTGCTGTGTTAATAAGGTCGCGAGCAAAACGGCCCAAGCGCCGGTGATATAGCGGCGCTTACGCGTTCCGTCCGAACACTTCACAAAACTCGATATTAATTTGTAATTATTTGATATAGTTTTAATTGCAGAATACTTTAACATTAACAAAATTTCACTGGCTTTAGTACACTTAATAAAGAACTGTTGACACGGTAAATGAGACTTAAGCACTCACTACAAACCCATTATTTTATTTAAATTAGACAGACGAAAAAAATAAGGTGTTACGCGATAGACTGCTACGATCGGACTCCATTCATTGAGCAACGTTCGCTCAACAAATTCGCTGAAAAGTTGGATTTAATATAAAATTAAACACTGATAACGCGAATAAGTACCTAATATAACATTTCGGAAAGTTTGCTCAGGAACTGCACGCTTTAATTCCTCCCTCTCCGTTCCACCATCGACGACCAGGCAGTCGGCGGGTTTTCATCCCTTTGTTGTCGATATTCCACGCATTAAAAACAAACGGTTTACTTCGACTTTTTTAATGCGTACAGCAAAGCAGTGGAATAATCTTTCCGTCCGAATACAATCTGGGCGTCTTCAAGGCAAGAGTGAATAGGCTTTTGTTATGCTAAGACAGTGCGGTTTATCATCTAAAGCTGCATCACCACTTACCACCAAGGTTGGGTTGTCAAGCACTGGCTTATAAAATTTCTTAAGCCCGGTACTTTTGACTGGTGACGTAGTTTTTTTGTAACATAACTGGTAACAAGCAGTCTGACTGGCCGAAGCTATAGCTGGTCTATAATACGTACCTGTATTAATTGCAATTAATTAAAATATGGTAGGTTACCATAGTGTATATTGTGTGTTAAATTATATACTAAAGTAAAAATTAAAACAACTTCATGTAGTCTAAATATTATTTTTCTGAAAACACGGAATGCCTGTGTTAGGAGGACAACTAACACAGGCATTCCGTGTTTTCAGTCTGATTTCAGGATTTTGTGGTTCAAGTGGCAAATCAGAACCCAGAATACGCACCAAGTTGATTTTTGTATCACGTGGAATACGAGTATTATAAACTCAGCACTTCATATGTTGTAAAACCGTGTTTCTCGCCAAGATCTTGGTGAGCTGTCCCCGATCAATGGTACTGGCACCATCATCACCTTGATAATGAATGTGGGCATTGACTGGACTTATTTATGTTCTACATTCGATAAAAAGTACCATGGGCCACCCTCGCGATCGGCGACTGCAGGTGTAGATGGAGCATTTCTTGTCTATTTCGTCAACTCCTCGTTTTTTCGAGTTGTAATAAATCATAATTTCAGGGTTTTCTGTCTATTTGTCAATTGCCTCACAATGATGCATTGAAGGAATTAACACACAGCTTTTTCTTTCTCTTTAACGTGAGGCATCAAAGTCATGTTATTAGTAAATCCATAGAGTGTAGATACCACATCTCTTGTTTTAGATGGCTGGAACTACTTGAGAATTTCTCTTTTTGTTTTTTTAAAGTACCTACATACGTCAGGCCTCGTTTCTTTAGTAAATCTACCAATTCAATCGATGTAAACCGTCGAACGTTACATTGCGGTTACTGTTGTGAATGGGTTTCGTCAAACGAATCACTGCTTGTGACGGAACTAGAAACTTCCATTCTTCGTTTGTTGAAGTTTCACCATTAGGCCCTTTTCCAGAATAAATATAGCCATTAATATAAATAGTTTGTCTTAGAATCGCATATACACATCAATTTCAAACCATATTTGGATGGTTTGTTTGACATAGATATGACGGCGGTATAGATATGAGAACGGCGGGCTGAAGCTAAATGTGGCGAAGACGGAGCATATGGCCTGCAACAGCACAGATCTGACGTCTCTCCGTATAGGCGACGACACCGTCGAGCGAACGGACAACTTCAGGTACCTCGGATCTGTGCTTGATGCGTCCGGGGACATCGATCCCGACATCAAGGCCCGTGTATCAACGGCCTGGGCGACGGGTATCATTTGTGACCCCAAAATGCCGGTCAAGCTGAAGAGACAGGTCTATAAGACCATCATAAGGCCTGTCCTTACGTACGGCAGTGAAGCGTGGCCGGTGCTGGAGCGACACCGGCAGTTGTTGCATGTCACGGAGATGAACATGCTGCGGTGGATGTGTGGCGTCACTCGGAAAGACCATGTACGGAATACATACATTCGCGGCAGCCTCCATGTCCGTGACATTGCTGACAAGCTCCAGGAAAGCCGCCTCCGCCGGTACGGCCACGTCTTACGACGACCGGCAAGCTACGTAGGAAATAAGTGCCTGGACATGACTTGATGTTGTGCAGGTTGACATGCGCGCCAATGGGCTAGTTGCGAGGGACGCCTAAGAATGGGCAAAGTGGAGGAGGAAGTGTAGGAAAGCGGACCCTGGGTTCTCCCGCGCTGGGCGGGATGAGCAACCGGGGTAAACGCTAGGTAGAAGAAGAAGATGAAGAAGTTTGACATAGATATGACAAAAAAGAACGACCTCTGAATGCTATCAAAATTTAATCGAACGTTGGATACTCTCTAATGTTGTACAGAGTTTGAGAGTTAGTCACAAATATTCTGAATATGTTTGAAATAGCAGCCAGCCTATCATTCTACATAGTAACAGATTCTGAAACCTTTTCTGCGACATTACACATCTGAAAATATCTTTTCCAGTCGCATCAGTGGCAAATAGGTACTCACAATTTTCACGGTTTGCACTTGAACACAGCTGTATATATAGGAAGAGCAAGAAATGGATGCATTTCGGCCATATCCATGTCTTGTAGCTCTGGCCGATTTTTTCTAATGCAATTTAATCTCAGTTCATCAATTTTCACATTTAGCCATTTACAATTTCTTATAAGATATCTAAACTTATGATTTACTTTCACAGAGAAAAAGGGCATTTTCATCCTGTTAATTCAACCTTGACTCAGGCACACGAGCTATAATGTTATGTTGACCTGTCCTCAAAGCTCTGTTTGGTGGGTCTTTTGTCCATTTGAACCGGTTTTTGCAATAGAAAATTCTAGATATTCTTTACAAAGATTCGTCACTGTCACTTCCTGAAAGCTTTTCCTTCTTCATATTTAGGGGCAAAATTTTTGGAAACGTCTCTAGCTTCCGATTCACTTGAGTCTTCTTGTACTAACCATTCTACAATTTCGCGATCGTTATTAGAATTTACGGCTGATGAGACTTGTCTCTATTCTATTGGATAAGGGTGACAAACGAGCACAGTCCACCTGATGGTAAGTGGTTTCTGCGGACCATAGAAATTTACATCTCTCCTCGATTACGAATCAAAATGCAGGCGTTGTCACCCGTGAGGACTAAGATGGAATGCCTCTTTTTCAGTAAAAAGTGTCTCCGTTTCTCTACAATTACCATATATACGCAACTGTCCTCTAGGGCACAGGTGATACTATATGTCCTATAAAGTATATTATCTATGATAGTAAGCTTGAAGCTCTCAGATACTCAAACACGGGAAGTGCGGGAAAGGGGGTGATATGATGATTCGCTTGGATCGCTCACCCTCTGAGACCGCACGTCACCAGTTAAAGGATAAACAACTTCCTGAAATAAGGCAGAAAGTTGTAATTTTATAGGTGGTTGAGCCATGCTACTTTATAATAGTTATAGCCCGAATGGGTCGGCTCGAGTTACAACTACTATAGTATTTGAAAAAGGGGAAGTAACACACTCTGACACCATATCAGCGTAAAGTAGCAGCTCAGTGATGGTGTACTTCCTTAGGTGAGCGCAGAGAACCGGAGAACCCTTTTTACTGGAAATAGTCATTACTTCTTAGTCTTCAGAGGTGACAACAGATCTGCATTTTGATTCATCATCGAGGATTGGTATAGATGTCCATGGGTCATAACATCCACTTCGCATAAGGTGTGCTCGTTTGTCACCCTTATTCTTTAATAAATCACAGCATTAAATCAAAATAATGAAAATTAATTAATGTATTTTATCGTTAATTTGCCTGTCAGAATTTTAATTGGCGCAAAAACTTCATTAAAATATTGATAGGGTTCTAGGATCTATCAGCCACACTCGAATTGTCAGCGCTTGATTGCTGTGTCATAATGATTATGAACCTATGAATTAATTTTCGGATCTAATTAATTTCCAGGGAATAAACTATCTCTTGATTACAAATTGAATTTTGAATTAGTGCAGTTTGCAATAGTTTACTGCATCACTTAGCTAGCTGCAAGATATCGTACGTTGAACATTAAGTAACTTTGCACTAAGTACGAGTAGTTAGTTTTAGAAGAAGAACTATCTAATAAAGGGCGGTTTTACAGATTGCTATCACTAAACTACATCTAGTTGCTTTTACTTCTTATATTTGAACTTAACGTCCGATGTCACGTATATGTCGCAGCCAACTAGCTTAATTAGCCTTTCAGTTAACAGTCTAGCCTTTTTGTCGTCTCGTTTAGTTAAATTAAGAAGGTGACCATATTTTATAAATGTACCTTTTAAATGGCTTTAGGGTAGCCTAAGCACTACCCCAGCCGCACCATAACCCACTGTCACTGATATTACAAGATGGGTGTAATGTCGTGTTAGACGCATCGGCTGAATACCATTCAGGCCACTAGTTGACCGGTGCCGTTTAGTAAAAAGGCTAGACTTTAAATTGAAAGGCCAATTAAAATAGTTGGCTGCGACGTGATGTTCATGCACCTACTAGCCCTCCTTAAATCTAGTAGCCGTTTCTAAACTATTAATTGTTATGTAAGTACTTGATGCCCTAGTTACCTACCTGTCTGGGAACTTATAAAATAGGTATACGTAATAAATTGCCTACTTAAAATATAGTTTCATTGTACAGTACCTTAATAACGACGTAAAACTTCTATT